TTTCTTTTTCTTTTCTTTTTTTTTTTTTTTTTTTTTTTTTGATGTCATGCTTAAACTCCTCACTAAGCCCTGGGTCCATAAGATTCTCTCTTACGTTTTCCCAAAAAGCCTTCTGTAACTATACATAGTTTATTAAACTACATATGTGTAGTTTTATATTTAAATCTATGATCTATTTTGAGTTAATTTTGGTATAAGGTATGAGGTTTAGATCAAAATAGTTTTGTTTTGCCTGTGGATGTCAAATTGCTTCATTATAATTTGTTGAACAGGCTGTTTCTTTCATTGAATAGTTTTTGACCCTTTGCAAAAATTAGTTGACATATTTGCGGGGGTCTATTTCTGGGCTATGTATTCTGTTTCATTGATCTCTTTGTCAATCCCTCTAATAACATGATGCTCTCTTGATTACTGTAGTTATTTAGTAAGCCTTAATATTGGATAAAGCAATTGCTCGTACTTTATTTATCTTTTTCAAAACTGTTTAACTATTTTAAGTTATTTGTCTTTTGAAATATATTGCAGAATAATATGACCTAAAGTAACAATAATCTTGCTGGGATTTTGATAAGAATCGCATTAAATGTGTATATAAATTTTAAAAGAATTGACACTTTTACTATATTGAGTTTCCCAATCTATCCATTTATTTAGATGCTTGATTTCTTTCATTGTTGTTTTTAAAATAAGTCTTAGCATGTAAATCCTATACAGGTATTGTTAAATTTAAACCTATGAGCCTTCAATTTTTTTGAATGATTGTAAATGACATTGAATTTTTAATTTTGGTTTTCATATGTTCATTGCTAATATATAGAAATATAATTGTTTTTTGCATGATGATATTGCATTTTGCAACTTTACTAAACTTCATTATTAGATCAAGGAACATTTACTACAGATTCTTTTATATTTTCTATGTAGATGACTGTATCATTTGCAAATGGAGATGATTTTCTTTCTTCTTTTCTGATCTGTAAGCATTTTTTTTTCCTTTCTTGTCTTGTTGTGCTGGGTATTATTGTGGTTAACACCAGTGCTGAGAATAAAAATCCTTGCATTTTTTTCAATATAGACAAAGAAATATTTAGTGTTTCATTGTTAAGTCTGATGTTAGCTTTAGCTTTATTTTTTTTATCAGCTTTGTTGTGATATAATCCACATGACATATAATTCAGCCATTTAAAGTGTACAATTCCATGGTTTTTAGTATATTCACATAAATTTGCATCTGTTAGCACAATAAATTTTAGAATATTTTCATTATTGCCAAAAGAAAAAAATACACTGAGATCCAAGATGGCAGCAAACTAGATCCAACAATATATTAAAAACTTATACACTATGATCAAGTGGGATTTATTCCTGGGTGACAAAGCTGGTACTATATCTGCAAATTAATTAATGTGATATGCCATAGTAACAAATTGAATGATAAAAATGATATGATCATATTAATAGATGCAGAAAAGCAATTGACAAAATCCAGCACCCATTTATGATAAATATCTCTTCACAAAGTGGGAATAGAGGGAACATAGTTCAACATAATAAAGACCACATATGATAAACCCACAGCCACCACCATAGTCAAGGGGCAAAAAATAAAGCTGTTTTCCTTAAGATCAGGAACAAGACAGGGATGTCTACTTTCACCACTCTTATTCAACATAGTACTGGAAGTCTTAGCCAAAACAATCAGACAAAAAAATAAATAAAATGTATCCAGATTGGAAAGGAAGAATGAAAACTGCCATTATTTTCAGATGACATGATACTCTATATACTTTGGGGTATATAGAGAACCCTAAAGATTCCACTAAAAAACTACTAGAACTGATAAATGAATTCAGTAAATTTGAAGAATACAAAATAAATTTTCAGGAATCGGTTGCATTTTTATACACCAATAATGAACTATCAGAAAGGGAAACTAAGAAAACAATCCCATTTACAATTGCATCGAAAAAATAAAAAACCTAAAAAAAATTTTGACCAAGGAGGTAAAAGATCTGTATTCAGAAAATTATAAAAAACTGAAGAAATTGAAGAAGATGCAAATAAATGGAAGCTTATACCATGTTCATGGATAGGAAGAACTAACATCATTAAAATTCCATACTACCTAAAACAACCTATAGATTCAATGCAATTACTATCAAAATACCAATGGTATTTTTCAAACAACTAGAACAAATAACCCCAACATTCATGTGGTACCACAAAAAAACCCGCATAGCCAGAGCAATCTTGAAAAGAACAAAGTTGGAGGAATCATGCTACCTGATATCAAACTATGCTACAAGGCTATAATAATCAAAACAACATGGTATTGGCAAAAAACCAAACACATAGATGAATGGAACAGAATACAAAGCCCAGAAATAAACCCACACATATATTGTCCATTAATGTTTGACAAAGGAGGCAAGAACATATAATGGGGTAAAAGCAGGCTACTATGTATGGGGCCAGCTGGGTACTGAAAATATCAAGAGGAACACTTTGTAAAGTATATGAATGTTTAACTATTACGCTGTACACCTGAAACTAATACAAAATAATATTTTTATTGAATTTATTGTGGTGACATTGGTTAATAAAATTACAAATGTCTCAAGTGTACAATTCTATAATACATCATCTGTATATTGTATTGCATGCTCACCACCCCAACTCAATTCTCCTTCCATCACCAGTTATCCCTGCTATACAGTGTTCTACCTCCCTCCATGCCAAATAATATTAAATGTAAACTGTATTTAAAAAAGAAAATTTTTAAAAACATTCTATTAAAAACAGTATTGGGAAAATTGGACAGATGCATGCAAAAAATGAAAGTAGATGACCTTCTTACATCATATACAAGAATAAAACCAAAATGGATTAAAGACTTAAACATTAGACTCCAAACCATAACAATCTTCAGTCCTCAGTAGGGGGCGTGAAGGAGGCAGCCAATCAATGACTCTCTCATCATTGATGCTTCTATCTCTCCCTCTCCCTTCCTCTCTCTGAAATCAATAATGACATATTTAAAAAAGCAAAGTG